AAGGAAAAATCTGGAAGAAACGCCATGATAAAATGCAAACTAACAATTATGTAACACACAACACATGTAGTGAAAATATTATAAAATACTAAAAATAAAACATAGACTCTTTTGTTTAGTAAAATACAAAGCAACAACTTTTCTATTTCATACCATGTACTGAATTCAAATATATCAAAGTGATTGCCTGGGGAGAGCAAAGTGAGTTTGGGGTCTTTATGAGTAAGCGAAACAATTCTTTCAGCTCTCTTCATTAACAGGCAGTAAACATGTCTTATAGTGAGTATGCAAAGTACTTCAAAGTCCCCACTGCATAAGGATATTTCTAAAACTGTTGAGTTCCCTGCTGCTCACTTCTATTATGTGAATAAGTGATTGTAAGTTTGTTTTAAATGCCCTATGCACATAAATGCACCAAAGAACTGTCAACTGATGAGGTTCTGGGACATGATCAAGTTATGAGAACTCTGAAGGTTATCAATGAATTAAACCCATTAGGTGAGCACCTTTCTTCCAGGTGAGCACCTTTCTTCCACCGTGATATTCCTTCCTCACTTGCCAAAAAGGCAGTGGAAGCAACTGACCATGGATTGGAACATTTAATTCCATAAAATCTTTCCACCATTAAGTAATTTATATTGCTTTTGTTGTCAAATCAATGCAAAATGATTGAAAAATAACTTACCAGTATTCACATTTCTTTCGGTGTTTCATGGGGAAATCAGAGTGGATTTACTTCAGTATCATTCCCCTCATAGGAAACCCCCATGATGTGCTAGGAGTGTGCCTATGTCCATAAGCCCTTCCTAACCTGGGGAGAATTCCATGGCACGTAGGGCTATGCTTTCCATCATTTGTGGTATTCAACAGCAGAATATGGCTGGAAAACTTAAGAGTAAATTTCTCCAATGGCATTAACATTCCCCACAGATACCAATCACCTAAGCTAATGGTGGCAAACCTATGGCATGTGTGGTGCAGCAGGCTGTTTGTATCACTGAAAGTTCTAAAAGGTTCGCCATCATTGGCCTAAACTAATAAGAAAGCTCAAGTCCTAGAATCACATGTCTGGAGTCCATATATGGATTCAATGCAAACAAACTTCACCATTGCAACAATTATATACTATGCCTCTACTTTACAGAGAATCAAGATGCTCAATCTAAAGAAGGCAGGAGCCTGCACTGCCTTCCACCGTCAACACTGACACCTGAGCAGCTCTCAAGCAGGGTCAAGTGGGTGTCACTTCTGCAAACAAAAGAGATAAATGATGACACCTCACTAACTCACGTGCTACTCTCCATGGAGACAATATACAACACATCCACAGCTTTTGTGCAACATCGCCTGACAAGGTTTATTTTTCTGTATGGCCCTAAAACTCATCTGATCCATGAAAGTCCTGCCATGCGTTCTTCGATTTAACTTTTTTCTAAATTAAAGCTTATTTATTTTAATTTTTTATCTAAGAGTGCATGCTTGTGAAGCGTCACGAAGTCTTTCGTGGTGAGGAGATGGGACGTGTGCAATTTCATCTTCATCCTCTTCACCTCCACTTCCCACCCTTTTCATCTCTCCCTCCACTACTACATCCCTTTCCCATTTACAGAGGAGCTACCTCCTTATTTCTTACTGGCTGACTTTCATTTTGCTCTTTAAATTATTTATACTTTGGATTTCTCATATTAGAGAAATCATATTTCACTTTCTATATGTGATTTACTTCCCACAGCACTGTAATCTCAGTGTGTCCACTTTTCTACAAATGACTCCAGCTTACCCTTTCTTGCGGCTGAGTAGTACTCCACTGTTTATATATACATTTTCATTATCCATTCCTCTGTTGATGGACACATAGACTGTTTCTAGGATTTTGCTATTACGAGTTGGGCTACTACACACATGGACGTGTATATGTCAGTGATATGTGATGTCTTTAACTCTTCTGGGACAATACCATGAAGAACAGCAGTTTTGAATGGAATTATTATTATTTTTTTGTTTGAGACATAGTCTCACTATATGCAGTTCGGGCTGGCCTTGAACTCAGTTTGCAACCCAGGGTGGCCTGGAATGTGAAGCAGTCCTCCTGTCTCAGCCTCCCAAGTACTGGAATTACAGGTATGTGTAATTATTTTTTGCAGAACCTCTATAATGATTTTCACAGTGATTGAACAAATACACATTTGTTCCTGTTACTTGCATCTTCACCAGAATTTGTTGTTTTCTGAGTTCTTATGATAGCTGCTTTTCTTAAGATGTTTCAATTTGCACTTCTCTAAAGGCCAAAGATTCTGAACATTTTCTTAATTATTTATTGGCAATTTGTACTTCTGAGAATTGTGTATTCATTTCAATAGCCCATTTTTCAAGTGGAGCTTTTATTTTTGGGTGCCTAATTTTTTAGTTCTTTGTATATTATTCTAGATATTAGTCCTGCTCTGAGTAGATCACAAAATTTTATCCTATTCTATCGGCTTTTCCTTACTGTTGTTTCCATTGCCTTAGAGAAGTTTGTAAATTTAATATAACCCCATTTGTTCATTGGGTTATCCCATCTTATTTTCTAACAAAAATAACAGTAACAGCATTGAAAAACTAAATTTTCATGTCTCTGTATTCAGAACATGGAACGCCAGGCTTATTCATGCTTTCCTTTTGTGTTTTTAGTCTTTGATGCAGGCAAAAGTGTGCTTTACAAATATTACCACAAAAAGAATATTTCCTGAGCAATGCAATTTTGGCTTGCAATAGTGATGCTTTCTCTGCCATCTAGGGTTCATCTTCTAAAGTTAAATTTATTTGTCTCCTTAAAGTTAAAATACAGATGTAAAAGAAACTGTTATATAGTTTTCTAAGGCATCTCTATCTGGGTGCCCAGGCTGGTTTCAAACTGACGATCATCTTGTTTCTGCCTCTCCTGATCCTGAGAATGAAGCAATGCACATCACACCGGGCTCGCTCTGTTATATATTAAGAGTGAGAAGGACAAATGATGCATAGTAATTTGCAGTAATTTTGATACTGGGGAGTAAATCCAGCAATTCTAAGGTAGTGAGCTACATTACCAGAACCTTTACATGTTTTGGTTTTCTTTTTTTTTTTGAGCTTTATTTCCTTCCTTCCTTCCTTCCTTCCTTCCTTCCTTCCTTCCTTCCTTCCTTCCTTTCTTTTTTTTGTACCAGGGATCAAACTCGGGACCTTGCACTTACAAGGCAGGCACCGGAACCACTGAGCTACATCCCTAGCCCCCTTCACCTGTATGTTGGCCTAGGCCTCAGTAAGTTGATGAGGCTGCTCTCAACCTTCCTTCCCTCCCACCTCTGCCTCCTAAATGGGTGGAATTACAGGCAAGCATACTGGGAAGAGCAACATTTGGTGCTAAGATGATGCAAAAGCAAATGTGCTCAAGATAAATTGTCTTTTTTTTTCAACATTCCATCACTGGCTAGAATAGGAACAGCAATATACACTGTATATCTTAGTGGTGATGGTAAGAATCCAAAGGATACAACAATGAAGTTTGCCACATGTTTCAGGGTATAAAAATTGATACTGTATTCTGTAGTGTATTATACTTAATGAATTAAATCAAATATTTCATATAGTACTGTAAAATAATAAATAAATAAAAGTAATAATTTTAAATACTACCCAACTATGTTTTTAGTAATTTACATGTGTGAGTAATTTACATGTGTGAACATAATTAAGCAAGGCTAGGACAAGCTATAATGTTAAGGGTATTTAATGAATTGCTTACGTATGTTTTCATGTTACTATAAATTTATAACAATGTAATCTCATGAGAAATTGATCAGCATCTGCATTCATGAAGAAAACTATCCAAAACATTTTATATAATACTCAAATCTTTGAAAGAAAGGCAAAGTGGGCTGCAGATTTAACTCAGTAGTTCCGGTGCCTGCCTTGCAAGCACAAGGTCCCGAGTTCAATCTCTGGTACCAAAAAAAAAAAAGAGGGCCGGGGATTTAGCTCAGTGGTTCCACCACCTGCCTCGCAAGCGCAAGGACCCAAGTTCTATCCCAGGTACCAAAAAAAAACAACCCATAACAAAAAAGACAGGCAAAGTACAAGTTAAGGAGATCAATTTAGCCTCACACCCACAACTTTCTCAAGTCTATGTGTTTAACTTCAAACATCACACTGTGGTCTTTATGGACAATGAAAAATAATGGCTTTGTATAAATTTATCTCTAAAATGGTAAAATACAACATGATCAGAAGTTAGTAAAGTTCTTTTTACCAAACTGACTGATCCTTCTCATAAGTTAGGATTTCCTTCATGCCATTATTTCAGCTTCTTAGGCAAAAACAATAATGATCACCAAAGATAAAATGACATTTCACAGCATTTGAGGATAAAGGCATCTACCTCATTAGATCCAATAGCAAATATTCTCCCCAAAACAGTTCCCGTGCTGACAACATTCCTTTAAAAATGTTGCTGCTGACAAATCACACCATCATTTATACTTTTTGGACAGATATAATACTATAATCTATCATATCCTATTCAAGAAAAGTTACAATCCTGCTTGACTATGACAATGGGAACTTATAGCAGTATATGGTTTATTTTCTGACATGTCTGAGGGAAAAATTACTACAAAATAAAAGAGGTTGCAATATAAGCATGAAAAGTAAAATTTTGATGGTTAAGAAAATCCAAAAATTTATGCACATGAAAATAGTGGCTCTGGTATCAAATAAAAAATTGGCAAAATTATGTACTCAATTAATCTACAGTTATGTTGGGATATATGCAGTATCCCCTTAGGATAAGGAAAGCATAAAATTTACTAAGCTACACATTGTTGGAAACCAAATGAACTTTATCTGTTGGTGGTGGTGGGGTTTTTTTTTTTGTGCTACTGGGGATTGAACTCAGGACCTTGCACTTGGGAGGCAGGCAGGGCACCAGTGAGCTAAATCCCCAGCAGCAATTGAACTTTATAAAAAACTCATGTTCACAAATCTCTAAAAACATATATTTTAATATAAAATACAGCATTCAATTCAGTAATATTTTTTGTTATACAGATGATGGAGTATATGCATCTAGAATTTAAATATAAGCTAGTGGAAAAACATGAATAATTATCGGAAAAAATTTTAGTTGTCATTACCTCCCAATTTGTAAAATAAACACACAAAAACCCTCCAACAAAAACTATATAAATACTAAACCTACTGGCCAGTAAATAATACATTTCATCTATGGGTTGAATATACCCTAAAATAAAGAAGAAAAAAGTGATTATATAATTTGATTAAAAGGAACTACATATCAAGCTCTGAGAGTATTGCTTACAGCAGCATATCAGCTCCATATTCATTTTCTTTTTTTTTGGTACTGGGGATCGAACTCAGGACCTTGTGCCTGCACAGCAGGCACAGGAACCACTGAGCTAAATCCCCAGCCCTCCATATTTATTTTTAACAAAAACTCTACAGATACATAATTCAGAGATTTACATAGCAAGTGAGTTACTGAAAAGCACTATAGAATATCTCTTTCTGGTGTGTATTTTCTGGGGCACTCTACACAAATATTTGACATCAAGCTTTTCATATTACTTTGTTTCTACAGGCAACAATACATGAGACACTTTCACAGGATTTGCAAAATATGCTTACATACATATGGCTTCTCCACAGCGTGACTTGTTTCATGTTTTCAAAAATATTTTTGGGTTCTGAATGATTTTCCACATTACTTATACACATAGTTTTCTCCCGGTGTGAGTTCTTTCATGTGTTTTACAATACTTGCTTGTACTGAATGCTTTCCCACATTGTTTACATGTATAGGGTTTTTCCCCAGTGTGAGTCCTTTCATGTATTTGACGATACTTGTTTGTACTGAAAGCCTTCCCACACTGTTTACATATATAGGGTTTTTCCCCAGTATGATTTCTTTCATGTATTTGACAATACTTGTTTGTACTGAATGCTTTCCCACATTTTTTACATACATAAGGCTTTTCCCCTTTGTGACCTTCTTCATGGGTTTGACAATGACTTTGTCTACTGAATGCTTTCCCACACTGCTTACATACAAAGGGTTTCTCCCCAGTGTGACTTCTTTCATGTCTATACAAGGAACTGCTAGTAATAAAAGCTCTTCCACATTGCTTACATACATAAGGTTTTTCCCCTTTATGAATTCTTTTATGTATTTGACAATAACTTTGTGTACTGAATGCTTTCCCACATTGCTCACATGCATAGGGTTTCACCCCTGTGTGAATTCTTTTATGTCTACTCAATGAACCTCTAGCAGTAAAGGCTTTCCCACATTGCTCACATGCATAGGGTTTCTCCCTAGTATGAATTCTTTCATGTCTTTGGTAAAGACTGTGTGCACTAAAAGCTGCCCCACATTGCTTACATACAAAAAGTCTCCTATCCCCAGTGTGAGCTCTTTCATGTCTTTGACAGTGACCTTGTGTGGCTAAAGCTTTCCCACATTGCTTACATACATAGGGTTTACCCCCAGTGTGCCTTCTTTCATGTATTTGACAAAGACTGTGTGTACGGAAAATTTTCTCACAATGCTTACATACAAAGGTCTTCTTCTCGGTGTGACTTCTTCTATGTGTCTGATGACTGTGTGTTCTGAATACTTTCTTGTATTCATCATGTTGGCTCCAAGCTTTGTATCGACAGCTTTTCTCTACCTCTTCATTTCTGTGAATACAAATAAATGAACCAATCACAGTAAAAGGGTCTCACTATAACTGACTGACCAGAAGTACTGGTTTGAAGCCTCCTAAGAATTTCTGACAACGAACTGACTGAATGTGCTGGAGGACGCCTTGAACAGGGCTATTACTGGGCCCAGGATGGAGCTCAGAGGCACAGCGCCTGCCTGGCAAGTGTGAGGCCCTGAGTTCAATTCCCGGTACCAAAGAAGAAAAGAAAAGAAAAGATCTATTACCAAAAAAATGGTGCTTCTTTGGGTTTGTTACAATTGGTATATGTCTGCAACACATGATGTTTACTTTCATTTTGGGGAACTGGTACATATGTGTACCATATACTGATCAGTTTTGACCCTTTTCCCATCCATCTCCCCATTCTTTCCTTTGATCCTCTTACCCTTCTGCAAAAATTCAGTCTCCTTGATTTCTACCACCTTTATTTTACTCCTAAAGGTATATTTTGGGTTTGTCCCATAAGAGAAACCATCTGATATTTAACTGTGTGCCAAATATTTCATTGAACATTATGGGATAGAGGTCCTTCTACTTTGGGGAGGTGGGCAAATGACATCATTTCATTCTTTTTATTACTGAAAACATAGTACTTTACAGTGCTGGGAATTAAACCCAGGATCTCAGCACTGAATTACACCCCTTTCTTAAAAAAATCTTGTTGGAGAAAGGTTGTCATCAATCATTAAGTTGCCCTGACTGAGCTTCAAATTCTTATCCTCTTGCCTCAGGTTCCCAGTGTGCAGGGATTATGAGCATGCAGCTTCATGCTAAGAGTATCCTACATTTTCTTTATCCATGCATTTATTGATGGGCAGCTACAGAGCTAATTATTGGGAACCATGCTGCTTTAAGCATGAGTATACATGTATTACTATATGGTGATTTTAACTTTTGAGAATATACAAAAGAGAGGATCAAATGAAATTTCAATTTTTACCTTTTTGAGATATCTATATACTGATTTATAGTGTGGCTGTATGTTACATTTCCACCAACAATGAAGGAGTGCTTTCTAAGAATTTAAAAACATTAATGGACTCAATACTCAGGATAGAAAACAGCTATTATTAAACGCTAGCATTTGTTTGGGTTTTGAATACTGCTATAGTTTAGTAATTTTATAAATACTGTTTCACATTTACTTGAATACACAGCTGTCCTAAAAATGGATCCCCATGGAAAGACTACATTAATTTTTTTCATATACACCTATACCCAATACCAAAGTGTAGTTTCATATATTTTCATTATGTTGATCATGGAAAAACACTTTTTATACTGATATATCAGATAGTGTCACTTGATGCATATCAGTACTACTTCAGTTTCAAATATAGGAATATTTCAGATACTCAATTGTCAAATTATATAACTGAACCTGTATACATCTTTGGAATGTGAGATTAAATAAATTTGAACATGGCCTCATTTGTACAGTTGTGTGGTTTTAGTATTTCTGCTTACAGCCTGACTCTTGAGGAACATTCTATTTTCTTTTTGGGGGGTACCAGGGATCGAACTCAGGACCCTTGTGCTGGCTAGGCAGGGATGGTGCCACTGAGCTAAATCCTGGCCCACATTCTATTTTCTTGTGAAAGCAAATTACCTTAGATTTCTCCATAAATTTTTGTACTCTTCTTCATTTTGTTGGTTCTCCCAGTTTCCTCCTGAATTGTAGACACAGAAATATACAGAATTAATATATTTTTACATAAAAATTAGATCCCAGTTATAATGTGACCAAGTAAAATGGTATAATGTGACCATGCCTGGGATATTGATCAAAATATTTTTACATTCTTATAATCAAAACACATTAACATCCAATAAAAAAATATTCTCTTTATAATTTAGAATATGTCATCCTTACCTATAGCAGCCATGTTCCTAAAGGTTTCCCGCATCACATCTCTGTACAGCTGCTTTTGGGATGCGTTTAGCAAAGCCCACTCCTCCATGGTGAAGGTCACGGTCACATCCTCAAAGGTCACTGCCTCCTAAATGATCACACATACACAGTATTTTCAGGAAGAAAGTTGAGACTCACAGTCTGGAACACCTCAACTCCACTCAGAAAAAGCTGAACTGAGGCTGAATCACATATCTGTATATATATTCTCATACATATATATTCTTTTTTGATTTTTGAGACAGATCTCACTATGCATCTCAGGCTGGCTTTGAACTTAGAATGAAACCCAGGCTGGCCTCAGTCACAGCAATCCACCTGCCTCAGCCTCCCAAATCCTAGGACTACAGGTGTGCACCAGGTCATGTGGCTTGAATCATTGAAACATTAACTTCACGTCGTGGCCATCAAACTTGTACACTCCATCCACATGCACATTTTCTCTCACAGCAATTCTGATGCTAGATTGCAACTTACTGCTAATGAAACAGCAGAATATGAGCACTGCTTCTCCTGCTGGTCAAACCAGTTGTATCTTTGTACTGTCCCTAGAGCACAGCTCACTGAGGGACCCTACGAGATTACCATCCAAAAAACACTGAAGTAGATGACCATTAATGAACTGCTTCTATAGACCATAGGTAGTATCTTTTGTCAAACATTACTAGTCATGAAATTCAGTCCTCTTTTTGTTAGTATATTAACAGCACTTTGAATCTGCTTTCATAGAAAAAACTTTGTCTTTCAGCCAGAATCGCCATCTTCCAGTAATTTGCCAAAATGATGAACACAAAGGGAAAGACGAGGGTAACCTGGTATATGTTCTCTAGGGCTTTTAGAAAACATAGGGTTTTTCCTTTGGCCACATACATGTGAACCTACAAAGAAGGTGATATTGTAGACATCAAGGGAATGGGTACTGTTCAGAAAGGAATGCCACCCAAATGTTACCATGGCAAAACTGGAAGAGTCTACAATGTTACCCAGCATGCTGCTGGCATTGTTGTAAACAAGCAGGTTAAGGGCAAGGTACTTGCCAAGAGGATTAATGTGCGTATTGAGCATATTAAACACTCAAAGAGTCGAGACAGCTCCCTGAAACAGGTCAAGGAAAATGATCAGAAAAAGGAAGCCAAAGAGAAAGGTGCCTGGGTCCAACTGAGCGCCAGCCTGCCCCACCTAGAGAAGCACACTTTGTGAGAACCAGTGGGAAAGAGCCTGAGCTGTTGGAACCAATTCCCTGTGAATTCATGGCAAAAGCTGGAGCTGGAGCTCTGCCCTGCAGCACCTAATTAGGGGCTGAGTGCCCTAAGCCCTACTTAAAAATAAAATATCATCCTGTGTTGTAAGGATGGTTTTCTTAATTAAACAGGTGTGTGGTGCCTTTATCTCAGAGAAACAAATACTTGGAGCAGATTCTCATTATACCCAGTTAATTGTGTCAGGTCTTTACTCTTCAGTGTTTTTCTTGCTGAAAGATGTGAGGTATTGTGCAGATGTATACCCAAATGACCAAATATTTATGAAGTATTTATATTGGCTTGAAGATCCTCTAAATCACCTTGGGGACAAGATGTATCAAAATAAATGGAAGTCGGTATATGCATTTCAGTTAAATTGTTTAAAGCACCCTTAAAAAAAAAAAGAAAAAAATTTAATTGAACATTAAGATTTATGAATAATTAAAAATACTAGTGGAAAACTAGTTTTATTGGAGGATGACTAAAGATAATTAAACTAGGTGAAGGATGGAATATTACCTTATGGCTCATAGCTCATACATTATCTTATAGTGAATGTTACCATTCACACAGATAAAAGAAATTCTAAGGTGGTGTAAGGTAGGGTTAGGAGACGAAGAATATGATCAAAATATATTAAATGCATTGAAAGCCAATATTTTACAGTTATTTGAGCACTAGTAATAAAAGGAAAATTTCAAGAAAAACATTGAGTCACTTCAAAATCACACCTTTGGTTTCTCAAAAAAAAAAAACAAAACAAAACCCGTGGGCCGGGGATTTAGCTCAGTGGTTCCACCACCTGCTTTGCAAGCGCAAGGATCCAAGTTCGATCCCTGGTACCAAAAAAAAAGAAGAAAAAAAAAAACCCTTAAAGCTGCTCAGTGCATTAAAAGTCTAACAGTGTTCAATAGCTTGTAAATAGTGTGATAGCTTACATAATGTACATGAGAGGAACTCCAAATTCATCATTGAAGACAATGTACTATTAGTACAGAAAATGACAAATAGATCACAAGGAAGAGAAGACAGTTTTCCATGGGTTCACATGTAAACAGAATACTGATTCATGATAGAGCTTGTGATATACAGCCTTGGAGGAAATCACAGTCCGTTTCACATATGACCAGGTAGGTACTTGGAAATCTGTAATGTATACTGCTCATTTCTATACAATAATAATGTTACATACTGAAATGGGAAAAAGAAACTTGAATGGTCTGAAAATTCAGTGAAATAATTTTAGATGTGAGAAAGTTTCCTTAGAACAAACTAAGACGCCATCCGAATATAAAGAGAAATTTAAAGCTATAAAAATCACAGGAGGGGGCCGGGGATTTAGCTCAGTGGTTTGCTGCCTGCTGCGCAAGCGCAAAGACCTGAGTTCGATCCCCTGGTACTAAAAAAAAAAAAAAAAAAAAATCACGGGAGGTAAATGTGACAAGAAGACATTTGTAGAGTATGCAATATTCAGAATATGTGTAGAGAAGAAAGGTCAATAAACACAAATCTTAAAAATGACTAAAAGATATCTAACCTGAGAGAAAACACCAAATATAAAATAAGATCCATGACACTGGAGGAGGAAATCGCCAAGGAAAACTGAAGTGTGGAAGAATACAAGTAAGTAGACTTATGTAAGAATAAAAGATCAATTGATATGCTCCACACTCATTTCCTGTACTTTAGAGTTTACCAAAATCTACAGTCCACTGACATTATTCCAATGTCCAAAGAACACATTGTGTTATTATTCCTGGAAACATGTTTGATTCTTTTACATCAACAAAAAGTAAACTTGAAAAAACCTGAACCACATGACCAACACAATGAATAATAAAGCACTTTGCCCCTCATTCACATAAGAGCACCTGTAAACAATAATCAGACCAAAAAACCCACCCCAAATGCTTTTATATGCAATTTCTATAATAATTTACTTATTAAAAATTCCAAGGTGGGAAACAAAAGAATACTGGCCAAAGAAAATCACACTTGCTAAATGTAGGAAATGTAGCCAAATTAGGAAAGTGGTCATGGAGAAGGCAGGAAAGGGAGGAGTCAAGCAGGATATCACCAGGATACTCTTAGCCACGGTCTGCATTGTTTTCATCAAATCTCACCAAAAATAATTTTAGAATGAAGTTTATTATAAAATACTTAAACACTAAATTGCCATTAGGAAAGTACATACTAATTTATGTCTAACTTCAAACATTGAAAGATGATACATAATTTAGCGAGTTCAAGGCCAGCGTGAACTACATCGAAAGTCACTAAAAACAAAACAAAACAAAAAACGGAGGAGAGGTCAGAAACCCAGAGAAATACAGCACAGACAACACAGCTGATCAACATCTAGACATCCTGCTTATGGTGCAAATTCTATGCCCATCTGCAAAGGAGTGGTTATTACAGTGACACTAGTGAAGATATGGTAGAAAAATACAAGAGGACAGGCAAAGACATCACCTAGGGCTCAGGCTAACCATGGAGGCTACTCAAGCAGGTAATACATGTGAGACACTAAAAAGGAAGCACTGTCTGAGAAGCCATTGTGGTTAACAGGAAACTCACAGTGAGAATCCTCTTCCACGGGTAGGTTATCTGCAGCTCCAGAGCGGTGAACCCCTATTTGTGATCACAGCATCTCCAAATGTGACCCAAATGGAAGGCATGCTGAGGATTAAATATTGTCACGGAAAAATTTAAAAATTAATTCACATACTTCTACTTTCCAGTTCAACAAGAATAATACAGAAGGGAACATTTCTATCAAAGCAAGAAAAAAGCAAACAAACTTAAAATCTACAAAACTTCTGTACTAAACCAATCTATTTTTTTTCCAAGCTGGGAAAACAAAGGAGGCCCACTGACAGAAACATAAATTACACTGACAGAAACCTAGGAGAACAGTGGTAGGTAAACTTTTGAACTCTTGTTGAACTGCTGAAGAATAAGAGAAGTTTGAAAGTTCAACTCTTGGCAGTTTTAGAAACCCTAAAGATCTAAGTTTTTATCTCCAGAAATACTGCTAGCTCATCACAGTGACAATTTGAAAAAATTATCTCATTTTTTGAGGGTGGGTGGGGAGAAAAAAACCATTTTGAAAATTCTGGGGTTTAATAAATTCTGGCTATAAAAGGAGTAGTTCCCCCTAATCCTGTACTAAGGGGAAGGTGTGGCAGCCTGTGAAGAACCCTATTTCAACCACTCCAAACTCAACACTGAAAATGAAGCAGGATGTGATGTTGCCTTCTTGCTTATTATAGTAATTAAACATTCACATGTGAGCAAAAGAATAACAAGAAAAAGAAAACAAATGATTAGAGTGGAAGAGTAATTATGGCTCAGGAATAGGCAAAAATGAATTGAGGAAACACTTTCTGAAAAAGGTCAGTGAAGCACCTATGTAGTGACAGAGGCAACTCAATTAAACAGATAGATGTATAGGCAACTAAAGAAAAAGAACCAAAGGACAAGAGGAAAAGGCTGTGTGTATAAAATAACATCAGTAAAGATTTGACATGATCAAAAAGATAATATAGAAGTTATGTAAGTGCAAAGGAGAGTAACTGAAATAAATCCATTGTCATATTTTACCTGCATAACCAAGGAATTATCCTCAAACTGAAAAAAAATCAACAACGTACTTGATTGTTAGTTACTGATATTCAGAACAAGTAATGTAAGTTAATTGTACATCAGAAAGAAAGTACTTGTAATCTTACCAAAGTAAATGGCTATCTCTGAAACAATAGTTTTGTTTCAAAGTGGGTTTAGAGTTGTTATAAATGGACATTGCTAACAATGGAAAATCAGAAAAAAGTAAGATACTGTTCTGGAA